GACTGAATCTGGGGCCAAATAAGCTCTGCTGTGTTTAGGGGGGCTGGCCCCCAAGAAAGAAGCATGTGCACGAGGGTGTAACCTAGGGATGGTGGGACACCGCATGCTTAACCCGGCTGGTGTGTCAGTGTGTCCCTTCAGACTGTAGTGTCAGTGTCAGCAATGAACGAGTGAATGCTCCTCATTTTTTAAAAAGTCCCTGTTTGCAGAAAACAAAGCAGGTCAAGCAAAAGGTTTTCTCCCTGACATGCTAGTTTTCTGCATGCGGGGTGCTTTTTTAGATGAAGGCCCCTTTGGCCACAGGGACTCCTGCAGTGCGTACCTTGGGTACAGACCAAAGAATTTTTTAAAAAGCTAACTTGAACGTGCAGTGCATATTTAGATTGAACAGTTCACAGAGAATTAAGTATTTGCGCTTCAGTCCTATGTATGTTTGTTCAAAGGTTCAATAGGATTTCCACCCATACATAAGACTGCAGCTTTATGGAAATGGTTAAAAGTCATATCTAGACAATTGTAAATGGATCCTCTGAATTTGTATGATTGTTATGTTGAAGCAGCACAAAGCCACCTTCTCAAATCCCTTCAGGAAGCTTGGAGACTATTTAAAACTACATTCCTAGAAGTTCAGATAAAATGTATATCACAGATTAGGAAAGGTACAAATAGGTATTAAAAAGGCCTGCATAGTTAATGAACAAAGTAATGGAAGCAGTAAAAAGTAAGGGTTCCTTTAAGCGGTGGAAGGCTAGTCCGAGTGAGGTAAATAAAAGTGAGCACAGGCTTCGGCAAATAAAATGCAAGTCGCTGATCAGACAGGCAAACAGGGACTATGAGGAACATAGTGCAAAAAACATAAAGACTAATAATAAATTTTTCTTCAAATACATTAGTAGCAGGAAACCAGCCAGGGAGGCAGTGAGACCCTTGGATGACCAAGGGGTAAAGGGATTGCTAAAGGATAAGGAATGCATTTTTTGCCTCCATCTTCACTGGGGAAGATGTGCATGCCCACTCCAGAAACATTGATCGAGAGAGGAGGTCCTTTGACTGGTGGACAAATTCAAAACTGACAAATCACACAGCCCAAATGGCATACATCAAAGAGTTCTGAAACTTGTTGGTCTCCTGGCAAAAATATGCAACCTATTACTAAGATCTGCTATAAACCTTTGTGTGTATACACACTTCTTCAGGATGCAGTATGTCTGAAGAAGTGTACATGCACACAAAAGCTTATACCCAGGGGTCGTTTCGTAGAAAAAAAGCTAGGGGAACTCATTAGCATAACTCATTAGCATATGCCACACCCCCTGACATCACCGGAAGTTTGTCATAAGGCCACCCCCCTGACATCACCGGAAATGTGTCATAAGGCCACACACCCCACCCCCAAGGGTCCCGGCTGCCGCTGCCGGCCTTGCAGCTCCACTGCCGAGCCCCATGAGGGGCCCGGTGATGGACCTGCAAGGCCGGCGGGAGTGCAAGGAAGCCCCGCGAAGGCCCTCCCTGGCCCCAGGCAGGCAGGGGTGGGGAGAGGCAGGGAGGAAGCAACTTACCCTCCCTTTTCTCCTGCCTCCTCCTGGCTGAATGAGGGCCGGAAGCGGGGCGGCCGGAAGCAGGGGGCGGGGCTTCGTCATGTGCCCCGCCCCCCGTACCTCACCCGGGGGAACTGCGATCCCCCGCGATCCCCCCTGAAATGACCTCTGTTTATACCCAGAATAAAACTTTGTTGGTCACAAAGGTGCTACTGGACTCAAACTTTGCTAATGCAGACCAACACGGCTACCCACCTGAAGCCATCTTACTGGATTCCTGAGTTTGTAGTCAGATTTCTGCATGAAGATGTGCTCTTCAGTGTTGGGGGTTCCCTAGTAAAAATCATAAAGACATATACTTTGGATTCAGTGCAAAGGCAATGACAGAGTGTTACGTTTATGTGTGTGTGGTGTGATACATAGATATGGATAAAAACACCTGTACAAGGAGGGAGGAGCTGTGGCTCAGTGGCAGAGCACCTGTTTGGCATGAAGAAGGACCCAGGTTCAATCCCTGCCCACTGCAGTTAGGGCGAGAGGTTATGGGAAAGACTTGCACCTGAGACCCTGGAGAGCCTTTGCCAGTCTGAGTAGACAATACTGACGAAGGGACAATATAGGGCCTGATTCAGTATCGGGGAGCTTCATGTGTTCAACTCTGGAAATATGAGACTAAGGATCCAATTCAGTCTGAACAAGTGTTCACAAGAGACCTCTCCCCCCCCAAAAAAAAGTAGCATCTTGAAATAAATTTGTAAATCCCCTTTATTGCATGACCATCAGTTGGTTTAAAAACCTGTTAGAAATGCATTTGAAACCGCTTCTTTCATTTAGGCAGTTATTAAATGATATGTACTATCCATTAGATACGAAGTTACTGCAACTTGCCCTGACGTGGTCTGAGGTTCTTTTTCCGACTTTACCAGTGCAGTCTTAGAGTTAGGGTCTTCCTAGTTCATGAACTTCAGTAGATTGAGTAGAGCACCCAACTTTGCTTAGTTTTGCACTGGACATTTTAGACTATAGGTCATCCTCTGATTATTTCAGAAGCTCAGATTGTATAACATCAACTTTATATCTCATAGATGAAAGCTTGTATTGGCATTGTAGCAAAAAGTGAAGAAACCAAAGAATCGTAGTAAACAGTAAAAGAAAAATCATGAAATTAAGCAAACTCTGGAGGATGACAGAAGACAGGAGGGCCTGGCATGAATGTGGTCCATGGGGTCGTGAAGAGTCGGACTCGACTGTGCGACTGAACAACAAGAACAACAAAAATCAGTGGTGGGGGTTTTTTGTTTTTGTTTTTTGTTTGCTCTTTGCCAAACTGGCAGGGGAATGGGACTAAGGATGAACAGCAGAGGAAGCACAAATACTGCGAATACTGCATTCAGGGGTCATTTCCTGCAGGAGCGCACAGGAGCGGAGCTCCGGCAGTAAGGAGCCCAGGGGGCGGGCACATGCAACAAGCCCCGCCCCCTCCTCTCAGCAGCCCTCAGTCGGGCCACGAGGAGCAAGAAGCAGCCAGGTAAGTTGCAGAGCTCCCCCTGGCCCACCTTCAGGTACAAGCTCTCCCTCCTCTGTGAGGGCAGATCTGCGCATCCCCCCCCCACATAGCTAGCAATCCAAAACAGTCCAGTGGCACCTTTAAAGCCAAGTTTTATTCAGGTACAAGCTCTCCCTCCTCTGTGAGGACAGATCTGCACGTCCCCCCCCCCAATAGCTAGCAATCCAAAACAGTCCAGTGGAGCCTGAGCGGTGGGTGTTGCCTCCTGACATACTTCCGGTGATGCCAGGGGGTGTGGCATACGCAAATCAGTTATGCTAATGAGTTATGCTAATGAGCTCCTGCAGCTCTTTTTCTACAAAATGATCCCTGACTGCATTTGTATCCATTTATCCTAATCTTTACATTCAGATGCATTTACACAACTGCCCAGTTAGATATTTACATGCTAGTCTATGGAACATGTACTTGGGGGGAAGGGGGCTCAGTAGTCCTAGAACAATTTTGGCCCAAATTCCAGTAGTTTGATACACTTCCTAAGCTACACTTTAAAGATAAACTGGGTCGGACCTGGCCCGCTTTTTCCTTATGCCTCACCCAATTCTCCTTACTGGAGCCCCCATCCCATGTGACTTTTGTCCATCCACATCCCGTGATCCCCAGAGGGTGGTCGAAGGGAGCCCCTTCCCCTTTTTTCACCAGTGGAAAAGCTGGTTAGAACCAACTCATTCAGCCTTTTGAGGTCTGGCATGATGAAGAATTTTTTTGTGTTATTTTGGTTGGTCCTAATGAAAGGTGTTACATGGCTTTTTTGGGGGGGGGATTTTGCTTTGGCGCAATGGGTATACATGTGTTTCTATTTCTAATTTGAGAATACCTGAGTTTGGACGATAAAGAGGGATTGTCAACTAGAGGGGAAAAGCCTATCTTTGTGGGTTTTTCTGCCAGCCCAGTGTGGCTTCCGCTGACATTTTACCTTCTGTATCTTCTAAAATTAAGTTCCCATTTTGTAAATATAAAAGCTGCCACATTTTTCTCTGCCATTAAGGGTCCTCCCCTCCGCATGTTTCCTTTGGTGTGAGAGACATTTGATCAACAGATTTTTTTGATGCCTTCAGCTGAATGGTTCCGTTTTTTTGCTGCTTTGTTGTGAAGACTAAAAGTGTGACCTGACCCCAGCACTATTTTAAATCTTCATACCTTCCCAGCATTTTATACAGGAGCCCTTAATGCCAGAAGACATTAAATATGATGAGAAAGACCGTGTTTGATTTTTCTCCCCTCCCCATCTCTTCTTTTTTATTTATTTTTTTAAAAATCCAACCTGATGAAAAATTTCTGGAGAACATAACACATCATAACACACAACACACTGTGAAACAATGAAACAGAGTTTGTTTCTATCCCAGTATCAGCTAATCATCAGTATCCACATAAAAATAAAACCAGATTCTAGGATTTCCTGGGTGTTAGAATTAGGTAGGCATATAATGCATTTTCCTTTGACATTTGCATTTGATATTAAATGTGCGTTTCTTGATCTGTGACCCACAAATGTCAAACAGTTACATTTAAAAAACTGGAACTCCTGGTAGTTAGGAAACATGTCTGCTGGATGCATATCATGTTTGATTAATGATTATTTCTGACTGCTGGTGTGCCTGTTATTAGAAGTTTGCCAGTAACAGACTTCATATATAAACCACCCAGCACTAAGCTGAATGCTGCAGTCATTTCACTTGGATGCTATTGGCTGAAGTGAAAAATATGTATACTTTCTATTTTTAGGTAGTGACTCATAGCAGGAGGAGCTCTCTGTTATATTTGAGGACTTTCAAGTACTTTGAATATATTCCGCATACTTGTGCAAGGATGAAAGCTCATTGAAGAGAAACATGGTTGGCATTTACTTAGCCAAATGTTTCTAGAGGAAATGCAAACAGGAATCCTGGGTGTCAGTCAGCAATTGTGACCTGCAGGATTTCAACAGGCTGTAGTCCATTAATTGTATGTGATGGTGGGAATAAAGCGGCAGACATTTCAGCCGGGCTAACAGAACCCGAGTCACTCTGAACAGATCCACTGCTTCCGTCAAATTGAGAGATCCTCTTCTTGATCATTTTCCTCTCCTTGGCCCGCCGATTCTGGAACCAGATTTTCACCTGAAATATTACGAATAGAAGAAAAAGAGATTGGATGTATACCCCACCCATCACTACCTGAAGGAGTCTCAGAGCAGTTTACAATCTCCTTTCCCTCCACCCCCCCCCCCCACAACAGACACTCTGTGAATAAAGCTGGTTTGTTCATTGGCAGACTTGGTGCTGCTGCTCCTGTACAGTAAGTAGTATGGTTGCCAACCTCCAAGTGGGACCTGGAGATCTCCCCAATTTAGAACTGATCTCCAGTCTACAGAGATCATTTCCCCTGAAAGAAATGGCTGCTTCGGAGGGTGGACTCTGTGGCATTATATCCCACTGAGGTCCCTCCCCTCCCCAAACTCTGCCTATCCGAGGAGGCTCCACCTCCAAAATCTCCAGGTATTTCCCACCCTGGATCTGGCAACTCTGGTAACTCTTGCAAATAAATCAGCTGGCCTAGGAGAATATTTAGGACGCCGTCTCTCCAGACCCATGTTAGACATTTTTAGCACACCAGTAGTCTGAAAGAAAAGAACACGTTCACTTCAGGTTTACAAACACTCCCTCGCCAGGTCTCATAGAAGCAATATTCATCACTGCATATTTATTTTGTTTAATTTACTTCATCTCTAGCCCGCCTTTGACTCAGGTCAGATTACAGAAGATGAAAGTGCCAGACGAGCAGAGATGCCGTATGAGCTTGCGATGGTCGCAAACGGCAGTAGCGTTCACCCACTCGGCCCCCCCAAAGGGCAGTGTAAGTAGCTTCCTACCCCACCCATTCACCACTGCAGAGCTACTCTTTATAAGTCTAGAATAATTTTTGCTAGACTGCGCCCACTTGTCTATCAGAACCGGCATACAAGATCTCTATGTACCTGTCTTTCTGACAGTTCCAAGTCTGCGGCGAGTTCAGACTTCCTTTTGATCGTTATGTATCTGTTGGAGTGGAATTCTTTCTCCAGCTCAAGTCTTTGCTGCTCTGTGTAAACAACACGATACTTTTCTTTTGTCCTGGTTTTACCTGTTTGAGACAAAACTTGTATTTACCATTTATTGATCACTTGCAAGGTCGCCGCTAATGCTTGGAGCGCCATCTGTATGATGCCACCTCTTTTGCTCTCTGCAAATCCCTCCACAGGCCCCAGGAAGCCTTTGGACAAGCCTTTATTCCTGCTCCCTAACTGAAACTGGGAGCTGCGGTGGCTCAAGTGGTTAAGACGCTGAGCTGCAGGCTGTGGAAGGTCAATAGTTCAGCAGTTCGAGGCCTGAGTGTGCTGCATGATGGAGTGAGCTCCCGTCTCTAGTTCCAGCTCCTGCCAACCTAGCAGTTCGAAAGCAAGACATTGTAAGTAGATAAATAGGTACCACTTCAGTGGGAAGGTAACAGCGTTCCGTGCGCCTTGGCGTTTAGTCATGCCAGCCACGTGACCACGGAAACATCTTCGGACAGCGCTGGCTCTTCGGCTTTGAAACGGAGATGAGCACCGCAACCCTAGAGTCGGACTCGACTGGCTTTCGAGCAAGGGAACCTTTACCTTTTTAACTGAAACTGAGCCACCCAGAGTAGCTGAAGCAGTAGAAAAGACCAACAGTCCAGTAGCACCTTAAAGACTAACAAAATATCTGGCAGGGGAGGAGCTTTCGTGAGCCACTGCTCACTTCAGGTACAGCTGTGTGTGTCCACAGAGTAGCTGAGTTTGTATTTTCCCCATACCTCCTTTCTCTTGGTGGTTGTGCCTCTTATGTGCATTCCCTCCGTTTCCTGCCTGAGGGCTGGAGTTTATACTGTAAGCACAACTGGGCAGGGACTTGTCTTTTTGGCAGCACTACAGTTCAGTCTGTATGTTTTTAAAAAATCCTTCCACATTTGCCTTAGCATTGGTTTTTTCCCACTCAAACCATTTTTTGGCGAAAAGTGACCATCATTTTTAACAGGGCTTAAAAACTCTAAACTGGTGTTACAGATGTGGGTGCTCAGGAGTATTATAGGTTCGAGGGACATGTTCTCAGTAGGTGAGAAGGCTTTGTTATGAACACATAAAGCTGTCTTCCACTGCATGAAACCATAGGTTCATCGAGGGGAGTGTTGCCTACTCAGACTGGCAGCCGGCTCTCCAGGGTCTCGGGCGGAGGTCTTTCACGTCACCTGCTGCCAGATCCATTAACTGGAGATGCCACTGGGGATTGAACCTGGGACCTCCTGCATGCCCGGCAGAGGCTCTACCACTGAGCCATGGCCCCCTCCCTCCCATTATTCTGAAATGTTCATGGTGCTAGATAATGCCCACTTTCCCCCCATGGACAGAGGGTGCAATCGGTGCTAGATAATGCCCACTTTCCCCCCATGGACAGAGGGTGCAATCCAAAAGGCCGCCAGCTCCCACGAGCAAGTGGTGCGTGGCAGCTGCCAGTGCCACTCTTGGCTCCTCCTGAGCAGAGCTATTTTTGGGCAGGAACGCACAGGAACGGAGTTCCGGCTGGCTCCCGAGTTGGCCACGCCCAGCAGGAACTCATTAGCATAACAGGCCACACCCAACAGCAGAAACGCATTAGGATTGGCTACATTAGGGGTGTGTGGCCTAACATGCAAAAGAATTCCTGCTCCAAAAAAAGGCCCTGGGTTTTGACAACAAACAAGGTAAACAGAATAACAAGCAAAAGGTGGGTGTGGCTGGATAACCACACTTCTGGTAACATGGGGGTGCATCCTAATGTGCCAATGAGCTGTGCAGTCAGGGGGTGTGGTCTAATATGCTAATTAGTTTCTGGTGTTGGGTGTGGCCTATTATGCTAATGAGTTCCTGCTGGGCTTTTTCTACAAAAAGAGGCCTGCTCCTGAGTAGTCTGCGGACTCCAGTGTAGCAGGAAGAGCTGATTCTGGAGGCAGGTGCGGAAGAGCAGGACTGGGCATGCCAAGACACTTGGGTGTGGACACGGAAATCTTTAGCTAGTGTCCTTTGTCCTGTTTTGTCTGCATTGTATTGTACCCTGGTCTGGTTTTCTCATGTTCAGGACAATAAGCTTTGGAAATCGTATTTGTAGAGAAGCTGAGAAAAAACCAGGCATGGTTGGCACTGGAATGGTACAGCTGATGAAGCTCACAGTAAAAAATAATGGAGATGATGAAGAAGAAGAGATTGGATTTATACCCTGTCCTTCACTTGGAGTCCCAGAGCGGCTTACAAACCCCTTTCCCCCCAACAGACACCCTGTGAGGTAGGTGGGGCTGAGAGAGCTCTGAGCATTGTCCTTGAGAGAACAGCTCTGACAGAACTATGGCTTGCCCAAGGTCATCTAGCAGCTGCAAGTAGAGGAGCGGGGAGTCAAACCTAGTTCTCCTGGATTAGAGTCCGTGCACTTAACCACTACACCAAACTGGCTCTCTGTTCATATGGGACAGCCCTTTCCAGCACTGCTTGCTTTCAGGGTATGTGCTGTTGCAATGTGCAAATTCCACGTGATGCGTGGCACTCCAGGATGTTCTCCTGTTCTGACCCACATGTCAGCAAGCCCCAAGTGTCATTGACCCAAGCAGCCTGCCTGACTCCACGGCTCTCCTCCTTCCAGAAGTGCTGCTAGGAGTGGGCAGGAGCGGCAGGTCTGTGAGGCTGTCTCGCCAGGGCCTGCTAGCTTCGTTTTCACTTTACGTTTATTCTCAACAAAGTCATCCATAAAGCTTGTTGAACTTACTCAGGCTAGACCCAATGCAAACATTCAGTAAGGGGCCATGTGCAGATAAACGCAATTCAGAATCAACAGTTTCGTCAGTAAGAGAGGGCCGGTGTGGTCTGGTGGTTAAAGAGTCAGACTGAGACCTGGGAAATCCAGGCTCAAATCCCCGCTCGTGCCTTGGAAGTTGGCTGGGTGACCTTGGGCCAGTCACACTTTCCCGGCCTGACCTACTTCAGAGGGTTGTTGTGAGAAGAAAATGGAGAGGAGAATGACGTAAGCCACTTTGGGTCCCCACTGGGGAGAAAGGAGGGGTATAAAGTAAATAAATAAATAAAAATAAAAGAATGGAACTCATACATTTTAAAAGTTAGCTAAAGTGTCAGAACAAGCTTTGAGTTCGGTGGCACCTTTCAGACCAACAAAGTTTAATTCTGGGTATAAGATTGCGTGTGCTTATACAGGCCCCCATAGAATTTACATGTAGTGTGAATGAAAGGCTGTAGAGGGAGGGGAAGAAAAGGCATAACCTCCTCCCTAAAGTGTGGTCCCTGCTACAAAGCCGGAGGGGCACACAGACCCAAGCAAGCTGCCAGTCAGATGAAGCACTTCCCCAACTTAGGGAGTGAGAAGGAAAGAGCGGGGCTTGAATTCGAGTTTCCCTTTGCAAGTGAGTTGGGACACGTACCTCTACACTGCATTGAAGCCTGAGACTTCTCAAACTGAGCTACAGACCCTTTAACACTTCCTTCATCAGCTTTGATATGTATCCCAGTCTCTTCTCTTTTCTGCAGCAGTTGTGTTGCTGGAAAGGGTGTGAATTTTCACAGCAAATAAAAGGGGGGGAGGAGGTGCTTTTCTCTCAGCTCAATTGTCCTCAAAAGAGCTATTGTGTAAATTTTACAACCAAAGGGACCAGGAGAAACTATTCCCCTCTTCATCTCCTCCCCCATCCCCAGCTCTGCTTCTGTGCTATATAGAAGCTGCAGCGACAACACAGTTCCATTTTACGTGCTCACTTTCACAAGGTTGAGATCTTAACTGGTTTGGATCCTGAAATTCGTTTAGTGTAATGATCTAACTCGGGCAGCTGGAAAAAAAACTCTAGGAAATGGATGGGACACACTTGAAGTGCCACACACACACACACACACACACACACACGGGTGCGTATAAAAAGCCATTCTGAAGCATGACCAGTCCATGCTGATACAGAAGGAAGTTCCTCTGAGCTCCTGGGTGGGATAGCAACAGCAGCAAACACACACACACACCATCCCAAACCCACTGTCAGAATTCATTCCAAATAATGTACTGATCTAGCTGAGCACATCTCCTTACTGTGCTAAAGAAACCTTCCTGATCCAGCTTAACTGGTTTGACATTTTGCACAACTGGGTTTGAAAAAGAGAAGAAAAGGGCCCTCCATCCCCCGGCCCTCTTGTTTTCCCTGGACATGAAAGAGAAGCTGACATTTGTTTAGGGCTCGTAAATTCCAAACCAATTGGCTTGAGTTTCTGAATGTGAAAGGAGCTCTCTGGCTCACTGTCTGTCCGTCTCTCTCTCTCTCTCTCTCTCTCTTGATAAGATCTGGCTCGTCTTTTGTGTGGCGTGTGCTTCATCTTAACACCTCAATGGAGTTTAGGGAACCACTTTAAAGGGGTCTTTGTCTTACAGTTTGTTCCAAAGCATCCACATCAAAAACAACCCAAGGAGATCAGAAGGATTTTTAGAAGACCCAAATCAACATTGGAGAACTTTGATAGAGAAAGGACTCCCAGTATATTATAAGGAGCTTTCCATACATGTCAAAGGGAGGGGTTAATGCTTCATCATAAGCAGTCCAGCCCTCTCAGAAGAACATGTCTTCGTCTTTTCAGTTTAAAAGTCAAAGCAAGGAGAGCAGCCGTTCATCTCGTGATCAGTGTTCCCTCTAAGCTGAGTTAGTGTGAGCTAGCTCACAGTTTTTTAGCCTCCAGCTCACACATTTTTGTCTTAGCTCAGGAAGGAGGGCTCCAGAGCAAACTAATCTATGCAGGAGCCAAATCCCTCGCTCACAACTTTAATGCCAGTAGCTCACGAAAGTAGAATTTTTGCTCACAAGACCACAGCTTAGAGGGAGCATTGCTCGTGGTACCATTTTCACACTCTAAATATGAACTTGCAGCAATACCATGCAGAGGATGAAGCCGTACGCATGGCTTGACTGGCCCTTCAACTCACCTGGCCATGCCAGCCCAGCGGCAACCAGGGCCACAGACTCACCCATCACCTCCTTCCATGCCACTGTCGGATGGGTCTAGGAGAGCCTGATTTGGACCCAGCTGGCCGTAGGGAGAGATGATTGGCGAC